ACTCAAAAAAAAAAAAAAAAATAAGCCAGGTGTGGTAGCACATGCCTGTAGTTCCAACTACGTGGAAGGCTGAGGTGGAAGGGATCGCCTGAGCCCAGCAGGTTGAGGCTATAGTGGCCGTGAGCATGCCACTGCACTCCAGCCTGGATGACAGACTCCAACTCAAAAAAAAAAAAAGATATACATACAGTCATTATTTCCAGTCTGACTTCTTATGTTTAACATTTGTGCTTCCATATGTAAATAGTTATAAGAAATACATTGTCAAAACATGGATAAAGTTTATTTTTAAAATCCTATGTATTCTATTGCAAACATAGAGTGCAAATTTTAATTAAAAAAAAAACTAGCATTCCCCTTTTATTGATAATATAACTGATATACTTATTTTATACATTTAAATTACCTTAAGATTTAATAATAATAGTTAGCTACAGTGTGGCCCAGAAATGAAAATATACAAAATAGTTTTAAGAACACATGTATTTCTACCTGCTGAGATACTTATAAATCATACAAAGTTACATATTTAAAGTAAAGACTTTCAAAATGAAACCAGCTCATCAAATTTTTTTTCCCAAAGTATGACAAGAAATCTTTTATGAAAAAAATAAAAATTGAAGCAAAAATAACACTTTCAACTTCATTTTCTAATGACTTAGAAATCACATAAATTCTACAAATTACTATTTCTGAAGACAGAACTTTAACTGTTCCCCTCCCATTTCTGTCATGCTCATAAAAAAACATAAAAAGTACTCTAAACACAATAAATGGAATTCTTACATTTTAAATCATTTTCTTAATTTAAAGGATGACAATTCCAATCATATTTTACATTTCTACTTGTTTATATTGCACTAAAATTATTTTACATGGAAGAACTAGTTGATGTATCATGACATAATACCTTAGAAACATTCTTTGATATTCACATCTACATTAATGAATATTTCACAGTCTACTTAAATAAATTTTCTAGTATACACCAAATCATCTAACAAAAACAAATCCACAGGGCTACTTTGTTTCTAATAGCAAAGATATTATTATTTCTGCCTTTTGGAAATAAATTGACTTTTAAAAACACATTTAAATCACTCATAGTACCTGATAGTAAATTTGAGAAAAACTTGATACTTGATTCAGTCATTGATTTATTAGAGGTGGTATCACTATATTGCACAGGCTGGCTTGGAAATCCTGAGCTCAAGCAATTCTCCCATCTCCGGCTCCCATGTAGCTAGGACTACAGGCGCACGCTACCACACCCAGCTTTTTCATTTAGTTTTGAGTCTCTACATAGCTACTTTTTAAATACAACATTAAGTCTACTTAAAAAGAAGAAAAAAGTGTTTGTCCTTTTATCTAGCGAACCAGAATTGTGAGAAGAGAGATAATAAAAATAATACTTCGATGCCAGCTATTTCATAGAACTTAAAAATTCAGTTCTCATTGTTCTGCTGCAATATAACCAAGTCTACTTTTTATTTTTATTTTTTATTTTTGAGTTGGAGTCTCACTTTCTCATTCAGGCTGAAGTGCAATGGCACTCGACCTGTTGGGCTCGGGTGATCCTTCCACCACAGCCTTCCAAGTACCTGGAACAACAGACGCTCGCCATCATGCCTGGCTAACACCTTAGTATTCTGACATAAGACCTCATCTCTAATTTATTGTACAGACAAGGTCTCACCAAGTGACCCAGGCTAGTCTCAAACCCCTGGGCTCAAGTAATCCAATTGCCTCCACCTCCGGAAGTAATGGGACTACAGGCATGAGCCACCACACCTGGCCCAATTAGCTGGAACTACCACCCCCTGCTTATTCTAATGATAGCAAACAATTTTAAAGTCTTATGAAAATGGGGATTACAATTAAAAACTTGGAACAGCATGATAAAGCTAATGAAAATCTCTTAAACCTCGTTTTGAAGTTAGTTCTACTTCCAAATACAACTCTAAAACAGTTTCAAAATAACCTAATTAATTAGCTAGCATCAGCTTAGAAATATTTTTTTGAATGTTCTAAGGTATAATATTTGGCATCAAAAAGTATGGTAAGCACTTTTGATTTGTGACTAAGAAAGAAAAAAATCAAGTATTAAGATACCAGTGATTCCTGTGAATCTTCCTTCAAATAATGTTTCCCCCACAATTAAAGCAATGTTTTATTTTTCCCTCTGAGAGTTTATTAAGGAAAACAAACCATGATTATTTTTTAGTTGAGGTGAAAAAATTGCTTCATAAGTTCATATGTAGTAAAAGCCACTGCTTGAGAGGGAATGCAACGAATGTAATTAAGAGATAAACCGCGATATAATCCTTTTCGAATTCCATGGTGTCCATAGACATACTTCATAGTATCCCGCATGGTACTGAAAGACAATGATTAAATGATGACACCTCTACGCCTACTCATGAAGAGACAACTTCAGGATCCATAATAGCAATTTTTTTTTTTTGAGTTGGAGTCTCACTCTGTCGCCCAGACTGGAGTGCAGTGGCCGATCACAGCCACTGCAACCTTGACCTGCTGGGCTCCAGCGATCCTTCCGCCTCAGCCTTCCAAGTAGCTGGAACTACAGGCGCGCGCTACCATGCCCAGATACTTTTTGATTTATTGTAGAGATGAGGTCTCGCCAAGTTGCCCAGGCGGGTCTCGAACCCACGGGCTCAGGCAATCCACTCACCTCAGCCTCCCAAAGCGCGGGATTACAGGCTAAGCCACCAAGCCCGGCTCATAATAGCATTTTTAAAAGAAGCTAAAATGCCATCTTGAATAGTTTTCGGAAGGTAAATGTTACAACAAGCTAAAGAGGTTTCATAATAAAACAGCAAGTCATTCCAAACAAGTACAACCATACATAGAATTTCAGGGCTCACTAATACAATTCATTTTGTTTGTACTATGTCTATGATGCTTACTGACAATACTATTTCATACTAATATTTGAAATACTGGTGTCCCCTTTTAAAGGATGTATGAGCAGTTGCCCTTTGAATGTGCATTATAGCTCAAGTCTTCTACTGTAAATGGCAGGTGCTTATAGAACCAAAGTTTGAAGGACTATCTCCAAACAAAATTGTTTTTTTCCTTTCAAACCAACAATTTGAGCTTTGCTTTTCCCTTTCAGTACACAAACTGGACTGAAAATTTTTTTTTTTTTTAAGTTGGATTCTCACTCTGTCGCCCAGGCTGGAGTGCAGTGACATGCTCATGGCCACCCTAGCCTTGCCCTGCTGGGCTCAGGTGATCCTTCTGCCTCAGCCTTCCAAATAGCCAGAACTACAGGCACACACCACCATGCTTGGCTAATTTTTTAATTTATTGTGGAGATGAGGTCTCGCCAAGTTGCTCAAGCTGTTCTCGGACCCATGGGTTCAGGCAATCTCCTCACCTCAGCCTCCCAAAGTACTGTGATTACAGGCTTGAGCTATCACACCAGCTGGACTGAAATTTTTTTTTTTTTTTTGGAGTCGGAGTCTCACTCTGTCGCCCAGACTGGAGTGCAGTGGCCGCTCCCGGCCACCGCAGCCTCGACCTGCTGGGCTCTAGCAATCCTTCCGCCTCAGCCTTCCAAGTAGCTGGAACTACAGGCGCGTGCTACCACGCCTGGCTAATTTTTGATTTATTGTAGAGATGAGGTCTCGCCAAGTTGCCCAGGAAGGTCTCGAACCCACTCAGGCAAGCCACTCACTTCAGCGTCCCAAAGGCGTGGGATTACAGACTGAGCCACCGAGCCCGGCTTGGACTGAAATCTTAAAAAAAAACCCAAAAAACTGGCTGGGCATGGTGGTTTATGCCTATAATCCCAGCACTTTGGGAGGCTGAGGTGAGAGGACTGTCTGAGCCCACAGGTTCGAGACCAGCCTGGGCAACCTGGCAGGACCTCATCTCTACAGTAAATAAAAAAACTAGCCGGGCATGATGGCACATGCCTGTAGTTCCAGCTACTTGGAAGGCTGAGGCAAAAGGATCACCTAAGCCCAGCAGGTCGAGGTTGCGGTGGCTGGGAGTGTGCCACTGCCCTCCAGCCTGGGCAACAGAGTGAGACTCCAACTCAAAAAAACCAAAACAAAACAAAACAAAAAACCTTTTTTTTTCTTTTAAGAGATGGTGTCTCACTCTGTTATCCAGGATGGAGTACAATGGGCATGATTACAGCCCACTGTAGACATGATCATAGCTTACTGCAGGCTTCAACTCCTGGGCTCAAGGGATCCTTGCACCTCAAGCTCCTGAGTAGCTAGGATTACAGCATGTACCACCATAAGAGGCTAATTTCTTTTTTTTTTTTTTTTT